CAAAACAGAATTTATTTATTTTTTGGTTTGAAGTCTTTATTTGGCCTTTTAACAAAATATGTAAAAAGAAAAAACAGATATATAAAACAAAACAAAAAATTATTATTTTGGGGTTTGAAGTCTTTATTTGGCCTTTTAACAAAATATGTAAAAAGAAAAAACTGAAATACATTTTTTATATTAATAATTTATTACTATGCGATAAGTCAAGATTATGCTATTGCCAATATAGTTTCTATATTATTATGATTATTATTTATAGTATAAATAATTTCCCTCTGGGATTTCTGATTACTTCTGATTCTGAACCTGAGAATCGACATCATACTTATTTTGTTTGAATTCCTTATTTGGCCTTTTAACAAAATATTTAAAAGGAAAAACAGAAATACATTTTTTATATTAATAATTTATTACTATGCGATAAGTCCAGATTATTTTTTGTGTAGTCTTCTGCCCCCTGTTATCAGGTGTATCTGATTGTGTACAATAGGATTTTGAGCAAAGTTTTTACCATTAAATTATGCAAAAGGAGTCAGACGCAAAACATTTCAGAAACCGTACGTATCAGATATGATAAATTTGGCATTACAGGGTTAAAAATTCTTCTGGGTAATTCTAGTTGATTAATTTCTAGTTGCTTTTCAGATAGTAACATGTTTTTATATTTCTGTTCTCAGTTCTTCTATCCATGATGACGTATTGATATATAGGTTTTAGATAATAAAATTAGTTGGAAGGGACATATACATAACCCTACACATTATGTGGAGTATTGAGGTCATTTATGACGAATCTCTACTTGTACTTGAGTGTTTTTTGGTTTCTGGGGCCCACTCAGGACTTTGTGTTTCATTGATTGTGTGGGAGAAGAGCAGAACCAGTCTGTCCTTATCACTGACCCAGAACCCAAACCTTATCAGGGGGGTGTTTGCTGTCCCATACGTATCCATAGCATGGACAGTGTGACACATTCCTCTGGGCTTATAGACGTACAGCGGGGGAAATAAGTATTTGACCCCTTGCTGATTTTGCAGGTTTGCCCACTTACAAAGAATGCTTATTTTTCCTCATCAGATGGTTATCAATTTTTATAAATTCATATGATGTGATTTTCTGGAATTTTTTTGGGGATTCTGTCTTTCACTGTTAGAATGTACATATGATTAAAGTTATAGATCGTTGCATTCTTTGTAAGTGGGCAAACCTGCAAAATCAGCAAGGGCTCAAATACTTATTTCCTCCACTTTACATGTGTTTTTATACTGATGTTCATTAATGTGCTTTGTCCCTATTCAAATAAATAAAATAGATAAATAAATACCGTCATCATTAACTTCCCCAGCTGGATGTATTTTCACTTTTCCACTGTACATTCAGCCTTATATCATCAGTAAAGTTGCTCTGTTGTTCTATTTTTTCTCTCTCACTGGATGCCGTTTGTTAGCAGTTTCTTCTGTCTAATAATTGCTTGTTTTTCCCTTTCTGTGCCGGAGTGAATAGCTAAACGCTGCGTTCTGGTCAATAGCAGCGTGTTTTAAAAGAAGTTAAAAGAAAAACAGATATCAGGCTGCACTTTTCAACCCGAGCTTTATCAAACCGACCCCCCCCC